CTATACATCCTTAAATATAACACATTGCATTACACTTTTATTAAATTACTCTATAAAACTGATTTCGGCCATTATTCCTACTTTTCATTAATCAACGATATACGTGAAGTATCATTTACAAAATAATAGTTTCGAATGGCATCAGGTGAGTCGAGGAATGAATTTGATTACAGGGGTTGCTTGACGGAGCCGGCGTCGCAGCTGGACCTCGCCTGGTCTGGCTACGTGGAAACGGTCGAGAGGCTCGTCGTGGCGGTCGACGGACGTAACGACCCGTTGGGCCTGAACGCCGAGAGGGCTGTCAGGCAGTTGGACAACCGCATTTCGGACGCCATTATGCACGCGATGGAGAACGGGCCGGCACTCGAGGAAAAGGTGAGTAGTGCAACAGTTTCAAACGCACTCGTTAACTTTTACATCGGCTGCCACGAATTCTACTTGCTAGCGATAAATCTGCTAGCTATTATAAAAGTGATTATCACTCAATGGACCGCGGATTTTATGTATTATAATACATACTATCATTCTTATGTTTACAGTAAAATTCCTTTATTCTGTATAAAAATCTGCAGTATAATGGTCAGCTAAATAGTATCACAATAATTAAAATACAACAAATTCTTCGTTACAAAGGATTCATACATATTAATAGAATATGTAATTATGTACTGATAAAGTATGTAAAATGAAGAGAACTAAATTATGCAAAGATATCAGTAGTATATGACGAGGCTCTAATTTCCCAGTAGCAGCCACTAATATCTCTATTAACAGTTTAGAAAACATTCGTCTGTCTTGTTGACAAATTACCATTTCGCAGATAGCAATCACTGACTGTTGATACTCTATAATTACGAATGGTGTTCCGCGTGCGATAGTTGATAGCCGTAGTAACAATCCCGCGGATCGATAGAACATTCACCTTTTGCAAACTCTTGTCTCTCCGTGCAGGTACATAAGTGAAATAAACGCTTACGCACTTTTACGTCTCGTTGCCTCGCAATTGGGGCTAATTGCTTAATCGCGGCGATACGTGTAATTAACTTTGATCTAAGTGCGAGTTACGCGTTGACGCGAATCCCAAATGAGCGTTCGCTCGAGTTTATTACAATTTCTAATTCTTATTTCATGCAATTTGTGTAAAACATTTAGAATTGGAATATGCGATATAATACATACGTATACGAGCAAAAATAATTATAATTGCACAAAACCGCAATGATTCTTGAACTTATCGAGTACATTATTCTTTTATGCATTACGTTTTCTTTTTATACTTCAAATATTTTAATTTCCAAGGAATATTAATCTACTAAATAAATGGAATCACGTAAAGAAATTAAGGACATAGTTTAATAATATCAGAATCGGATATAATAGTTGGATCAACGTTTGGATTGAATTCGTAAGATACACCCGGTAGATAGAAGTAGACATAAGTGGAAAAATTTTCGGCGTTCCCAGGTGAAATAAACGGCGTCGTTCACGGCGATTATTCCACTCGATTTCTCAAGCACCAGCGCAAAATTCTTCCCAACTTTTCTTTTTCTCTTAATCCTTTTGTCAGTTGGCTACCTGGGGCGTTTTCGTATCCCGTGCACGCGCATATTCTTGTATTCATTGTTATTGATATTAGCGTCGGGGTAGAAGAAGGCATTATGCTCCACGGCCATTGTGCGTATTTCCATAAATTTGCTTTTTATTTAGAGAAAGGGGTGTAACGCGGACGGAACCAATTTGCGGCCACGGTACACATATATCAGACCCCTCGCGGATTAGGGGGTTGTTAATATAAATGATCGCGCGAGAACTTTCCGGTATAACCGGCCGCGCGCACACTCTGCCTCGCTTAATCTCGAATTTAGGAATGGATACGGATTCAACTTCGACGTACAGTAGCTGTGAAAAATATTTCTCAATCGAACGTTTCTCATCTTTCATTCGTACAAATTTTGATTGTCTTCGTTAAATAATTGGTATCATTAATTAAAATTGTTGGTTTCAGTGTTCAATTTTATTTTGATCATACTGTGAAGTTTCATTTTGTCTGTAAAATTGGAAATCATATCAGTATCACGTTTTATATGATGTTCTGTAGGTCTGTTGACGTTTTGCATAATTTCATGCATTGCATGCAGTTTAGATTCAATGTTTTTATAAATACGTAAAATCGCCAGTCAACCTATTATTCCGTAACGTATCCGTCCGAAAATTTATGAGCGTGGATGTACGCGCAGCGAACGGAACTTTGGAAAGGATGCGTCGCGAACGGGCATAATTGTCGACTTTAGCTACCCGAAGCACTTCAGTAATTTATACGAATTTTCTGGCGCTGCTCGTTTTACAAGTTCCCACTCCGAACGAAATTCTGTACATTCAAAACTATTGGAAAAATACTTTTTCATTTCACTTTTTGTTCCTGACTAATAATAATTCTCTCCATTGTCCATAACAATCAATTTGATAAAAAGTTTTTAAACACGAACAGAGCTAAATAGTTCCCAGATTTAAAAGGAATAAAGAAATTTCAATTGTACGACCCAAGGAAGATATATTTTTAATTGTTATTACGTTAAAGGTAAAAGGACAAAAGATGATGAAGGAATAATTCAGATAATTACTCCAAAATGCAGTTGTACAGTTAGTTAGTCCGTTGAGAGTACAGGTTTTAACGATAAGCGTTTAGATGAGAGCGTCGCATGTGTGTGAAGAGTGCAAAGAAAAAGCTGATTAAAATGTCCCAGTTCGCGGGATATCGCAAAGGTAAACGTTCCTTTAAACTTTTAGACGTATCCAACGAGCGTGCAGTAGAACGATGCGACATGCGATGCTAGTTTGCGTTTCATACGCTGTTCAAACAGTTTTTTTACATTATATTTAAACCAAGATTTAAAGCTTGTGAAAGATTTAAAAATGTTTTTTAATACAAAACCAGTTTCGCATGGACATAAATGGTTCTGCATAAAAACACTAGACTTGCTATTTTTAATTATTATTTCATTCAATTTGGTTCTTCGTATATTTTGTAAAATGAAAAAAAATTAATAGGAGCGACGAAATGCTGGTATAAATACTGTGTTAATTCTCGTATGATCATTAATATGTCTATGCACATAAAACGTTTGAAATCACATAGTGGAAAAGCCTGCAATTTCTCTTTTATATAATTGTACACCATTATCGAAGTACAAATAATAAATGGCATTTGAGCTTTCATTCTTATTGCGGAGTTTCAGCGAGCCTTGCCAACTTCTCACTTTATTAATTGGCCAGACACCTAGAAACGGTGTTCGCGTCCGTGAGAAATGAGAGGACAGTTTATTCGTGCGTCACAGAAGAAAATAAGGGCCCGCGGGGCGTGTTTGACGCGTATAACATTTCTGAAATTCTTCGGTGATGTATAGTTCCGTTTGAACGGGAGAAGAATGTCGTACGCGGAGCGTGCTGCGAGAGACGTATCACACGGTAGTTGCGCGTATTACGCCCCCGGGTTATTTCGCGCGTCGTTACTTCCTTTGATATCCTTTATCACACGCAGCCACGTAGCTTATTGCATATTAAACTGGGGCTAATCACGGCGTACGAGTAAATAAGTAATCGTGCAGCCATACCGAGATTGAAATCTTCAAATGAGTCTGGTGCATCGATATTGCACCAGTTAATTAAAACCAGCTACGAGGGTTCATCGGTCTGCTTCACAATCATTGATTACTTTGTAACTCTTTTGAAATTCAGTATTCAGGCATAAGGTACAGATTTCTATTCATGTCCAAAGTTGTACTCATCAAATTGATAGAAATCTTACTTATATTAGCACATGCTTGATTTCAATCACTGAATAAAATTGTTCGAGGGTACACGCGCAAATTGTTATGAATGCAAAATTAAAAAGTGTCTCGTTAAAATTCTCGTTCACGTTGCGAACGAGATAGATAGGCGAATGACACGAAGCAAGGGCGTCTTGACGATGCACTTTGATCGACTGGTATCGAGGAGGTGACGAGAAAGAAACGATTCGAAGAATGCTTGTAAGTACAATAACGTGCGCGTGTACGTATCGAATATTCGATACGATAATTACGTTTCGCAGATTATTTTGCCTCTCGCGCCAGATGCGCTCCATGCCTCGACGATCTGCGTTACGCTATTGTTGGCGAGGAAATTTGTGCGATGGATTCGCCTGATAACGCGTTGCGAAAATTCAATAAACTGAACAATAACTAGTCGATTAATAAAAGTATGCTGTATAATTAATTGGATTCCTGGCCAATTAAATTTAAAATACATCAGTCGTAAATTCAGTAAATTAATTCCAGTAAACATTTTATAGCGATAGTAAACTAATATTTTGCATAAAATCTTTGATGCGTTGCATGATTCTCATTATTTCAATTAAAATATAGTGTTCGCTAATAAAAACGAGAATTTCTAGGATTTAATCATGTTTATCATCTATAATTTATCGTACATTTATATCAGCTATAAATATATACTTTCATATCACGTTGAGTCATACGTTATTCTTGTTATACATATATCTCTGAATTCGAATCGGTCGGATGTAAAATAGCATTGACATGGGAGACTGATTTATTCGCGAGGAGCGACCGGCGCGATAGCGTCATCCAGGTCGTGCCTGGGGAATTGTACTTACATGCAACTGGAACGACTTACTTACACGCTTCGCGAAGCAGGACTAACGACAGATTAGCATTTTCATCGATGCCCAAGCGTTTAGAGATTCATCAGAAAGCCGCGCGACCGTAAACTCGTATTTCTTACACTTACACCTTGTACTTCGCTTTTCATCTGTTTCCGTTAGTCGCCTACGTACGTCCCAACGTCGTTTATTAAACAGTCTACTAAATCTTCTTTCTTTACTTTGTATCCGTTGAGTTTTTCAATTATTTTTAGTGAATTTATTCTGTAAGAATTAACATTAATATTATTTGCATAATAAGCAGTTATGATTGATTTTGGGCTGCACTACAATTCAATTTTTTGTATAATTTATTTTATAAAAATTATTAAAAATGATATGATAATCTGATGATATTCAGAAATGTTGGCTGAAATTATTAGTTGTAGCATACTTATTGCTCAGAGATGTTAGGAATTCGGGCATCCCCGACAACTTAATACAGCGAGGCTTTCTTCTTCAACCCTTCTTTCCTCGGTTTCTCTCGAACGAGCCCATTCACCGTGGCTCAGCCGGAAACATTTCCGAGATATTAGAAGCTTTTCGGCAGTTGATTAAATTGGAATACTTCCGACTGGAAGTATGTTCTCGGAGCGGATATCAGCGTGCACTCTTTTTACCTTCTTCTCCTTATTTACTTACGCTTGTTCTTACGTACCTGTTTGTCAAGCCGCTT